TCTGTGCCCAGAGGGGGCATGCCACCCCTGTTTTGAAAGCCACTGCTGTAAAGAGATTATTGAGTATGAAAATATTACCTTTATTTTAAAATGTTGGTACTAACATCCATGTCATGTCTTACAGGTACTACTTCAAAAAAGCCAGCGATGAGTTTGAGTGCGGCGCAGTGTTTGAGGAAGTTTCAGACGACTGCTCGCTGCTGCCCACGTACGAGGGGAAGATCCTGGGCAAAGTGGAGAGGATGGAGTGACACCAAGCTGCCCATGTTGTGGAATAAACTTGCACCAATTCTATGGATGTACTCCTTCGGACACTCAACAGACGCCTACATGACACGGGTGTCCTTTAAGCTAAGACTGTGTGAGCGGAGATGTTGAAGTCGGAGAACAGAGGAAGCCACAGGAAGGAGCAAACTGCAGGACTTAAATTCAAGTGAAGAAATGATGGTGTTCCCGGACTGAAACGTCTCCACGTTCTCAAAGAGAAAACACTAGAGACACTAGGTGAATGACCACTTGTCAGAGGAATTAGGGTGGTGGGTTTGAATCTGTGACTGTCACCCACTCTTGGGGCCCTACCTGTGCGAGCCTCAGCCCACAGGCACTGGCCAGCACGTTGCTTCATGTATATGCAGATATAAAAGTGTACAATGTATTGTATTTTGGAATGCTCGAATTTCTGTGTTAAGATTTTATTGCTATTTATTGGAGCGATCCCTGCCCTGTCCCACTGAAGTCTGCCATGGACAAGCTGCTTAGAGTCGGAGAAACGTCTCCACTTTCCTCATCTGTGACCCCCGTAGCTGCTGTGCATCTGTTTAGGCAAAGAAAATAATGTTTATGAATTCTCAGCCCCCCTTTGAATTGTAACCTGAAAAAAAATACCTCTTTTCAAAAATCTCCCTGGATCTTCAGAGAACACGTGCGATCTCATGGCCGCAGGTTTTACTGCTGAGGCTCTGAGAACAACACCCACTCCACTTCAAGAGTTTGATAATATATTTATGACAAAAGTGCTCCTTTGTGGCTGTGCCCCCTCTTACCTCCATGTTACAAAGCCCCCGCCCCCAACAGAAATATAATTCTGCTATTGATGTTTAATTCCCAAGTGTGGAAACTCCTGTGCACAGCCAGCCTTTGCTCTGTCGCGCGTTAGTGCCTTTGTTTCGGTGGCACAGGCATTAGACAAATAGCCACAAATAGTGGAATCTGAACAGATTCCCCAAAAATGTGTTTACACCCCCAGGTCCTATTTGCCAACAGAAAGCTCTATGATGTTCTCCCCAAATGTGCGTACTTATGTGTGACTGAGATGCTTTAGATTAGGACCATTCTGTGTGTTTGAGAGTCCTGCACCGTGAGCTGCAGATGACGGTGAAGGTTGTGATCATGAACATTACGTCCTGTAGTGTTGTAATAGAGTACAGAAGCTGTGCCTACATGGGTTCTTGCCATGTTTTACCCAGTTTTCAGGGTCTCGTTACTCCCTTGGTTTTTCAAGGGCCCTTATGTTGAAAAGATATTTTTATGCTTTTTAGTATCCGTTTCATCATGTTTATGTTTTATAATATTTTTCATGGCTTCCTTGGCTCCACGTGTAAACTGTAAATGCGTTCTATAGAGCTCAGTTGAAAAGATGCCTCGGTACTTTAATTATTGTAATTATAAAAGAGATGTAGCCTTTATTAAAATGTTCTATTTTTCAAATTAGCTACTGCTTCCTGTGTGTTTTTGCAGCAGTTTACACATGAATTTTCCCTACGTTTAATTGGTTTGGTTGTGTGTGTTTGTGGAGACAAACTTCACTGCACACACCCCACTGTGTCGAGTGAAACTCAGAGGATCTGGTGTGAAATCTGCCAGATTTGCATCCATTATCAGCTCTTAATTTCCATCGGGGAGTACATTAAAACATGCAGCATTAATTTGGCCACCGGAGCCTCTGCACGTCTGTGTCTGAGCAGGAGAGAGAGAGAGAGAGAGACAAGTATCTAAGTATGTGTTAATGAGACATTTGGCAAATATGTGCAAGTTCCCAGCTATTTACATGGTAAACTGCACGGCCTCCTGTGGCACTTTATGATCTGTGTGAGTGTAATGTGGTCTTAAGCTCAGACCCAATTAGGGGCCGAGTGAAAAGATGCTCCCAGACAGCTACAAGGTGAAGTTATACAACAGAACTCAGTCTGGAGAGGGAGTGTTTGAAGGTGAATTTGAGAAAAAAGGTTTAAAATTTTAGAATGGAATTATTATGTGTATGTATTTAAATTAGACACGAGTTCCTTCTTAGCTCTTTAGATAAGATATTTGTTCATGACAGCTTAAATTATTATCAGAAATTATATGTATGTAATGTAAAAGGTAAAGAAATAGATACTTAAGTTAGACTTATAATGAATATGGCATAGGGCAAGTCGATTTTGAACTAAATACATTTTTATTAAAATAAAACTAAAAAAGTCTAAACAAATATTTATAATAAATATTATATTAAAAATATTAGTCAATACATGACCCAGTCTAAATAGTTAATAGTTTAAAATAAAGATAAAGAAATAAAATAAAGAAAAATATATGACCGTATTTTGCAATTGTAATTAAATACAGACGTAAATAAAGATAAAAAAGAAAAAAACTGTTCAAAAAACCATCCTGTATGCCAGATAATATATTTACTAAGAAAATAAAGATTTATTTTTCAGCTGAGTGACAGCAGAGCCTGACAACAAAGGTGATTGGATGAGCTGCAGGTGTGTGTGACCGTGATCAGGTGATCACAGAAGCAGAAAGCTGAAACCAAACAAATGGAGGACGGTGAGTTCCCCACAGTCTGCTGGAATATTAATGATAATGAATGAACTCATCAGAATGATGTTCAGCATTAAATAAAGCCAAGTTTCCCCCCCAAAAAACTGTTAGATGTTAGCCAAAACGCAGGGCTAACACAGTACGGGTTGTCCATTTTACAGCAAGAATTGGAGGTAAGCCTACTTTTACTTTGATAACAAACGCTACGCTAAAATTCCCATTATCTACGTTTTGACCGTTACAAGTCACTAACAACAGTTTTAATCAGGGTACAAAAACATTTTTGTCCTCCAGTTAGTGGCAGTAAATGTTCACGTTTTACCAGCTACACAGACGCCCGACCAAATGTGAAATCGGGCCGTGCGTCCCCAGGTCGTGCGTCTCAAAAATCTAAAATCGTACAGTGTATGCTCGGCTGAGTGTTTTTAGGATTCTACAGCTGTTTCTTTTAAATCTTTCCCCAGGTCATGCCTTGATGACTGATTGTAAAGCGACCTCATCAGCTGATGAGCAGCTGAAGCCCAGAGAACCTCAGGTTGAAGCCAAGATGGCTGCTGGGATCATCCACTGTAGAAGAGGTGTGTGTTTTCATTTGTATTTTTGTCACATTTGTGTCCTCTTCTCGTAAGTCATGCAGGCTGCTGCTCTGTAGCTAACTGCAAAGATCTGGAGGAGATGCCCTTCCTGTTTGCTAATGCTGTAATCCGATTGGTCACACAATGGGCGTGACAGAGAGATTGATACGAAACCTTTCAGACCAGTTGAATTAACAGGTGTATTATTTCAGGTGTTATTTTCAAGAGACAAAAGAAACCAGTTCAATATCAGCAGCACCAGTTCATAAATGGATTTTTATGTTTCTATTTATTATTATATGTTCATAAATTGACATTTTTATGAGACATAATTCACTCAATTGTTGTTTATAATCATTTGTAGCTCTTATATCTCATTATTATTGACTGACTGACGGACTGTGGACAGATTTATATTTTCGAGGACAACAGCTTTTCAAAGAAATCAGATCTTGTGTGATACTTAAGACTATCACGCTGGGGCTAACTCCTAAAGTTAGCCGCAGCTAACTACTCCTTAAGAGAGTGTACAAAAAATACTTTTTTTCCCTCAGTTAATTGATGTCGTTTTCTGTAACCTGTTAACAAATGGGTTTCATCTGAACAATGGGCGTGATGGAGGGTGACAGACAAAACCTTTTCAGATTTTGGCCACACAGAAAAACACCTCTGTATTATTTCATCCCGTGTAATGGGATCCGATGACAAGAGAAACCAATTCAATATCAGAAGCACATTATATAAATGTATTAATGTCAGGCTTCTCCTCAGGACAGCACCGACAAAGAGCTGCAGCTGTGACAGAGGTTAAAGAAATCTATCTGTGATCACAGGGTGCTGCCGTCTCCCTTACATGATTTAATTTGAATATGTAATAGATCCTGGCCACACACACACACACACACACACACACACACACACACTAACGTCATAACACTGCACATTCCTCTGCCCTCCTCCCTCCCCCTCCTCCTCACTTGCCTTTTAACTCTGATTGGCTAAAGAGTGTTTGTTATGCTGCCTTTCATATTGAAAGGGCATCGTGATATTGTTAAAATACCATTTTCAGGCCTTTCATCAGCAAAGGTCAGTGCATACACTTGAAGGCCATCCTTCAGACCCTTCAGAACTCACAGACTCTCACTCAGTGGTGCACCACTGTCCAAAAGCCCTGTGAGGAAATCTTTGTGTAGGGGGCTATTTTGGATGGGGTCATCCTTTCTGAAGACTTCACTGGGTTTGGGGTGGACTTGTATTCAAACACCCAGGTGCTTTTTGGCATGGTGGGTTATGAAGATTTGGCCCCTGCAGGGAGCTTTGTTGTGATTTAGACCTTAGACCACGCAATACAAGTATTCAATCATACGTCAAAGATTCAACAGCTGCAAATTACCAGTTAATTTACCCTCAAATGCCCCAAAGAACGACCGATGCCCCACTGTATCTCAGTCACATACCGTTAATAAGTCATTTGAGGTTAAGTTTTTTTTTAAATTCATTGGACCTTGTGTGATTTTTAGGGTCATTTAATTCTAGATTTTGTTATTTTTATCTGACTTCACTTTTTTAGGGATCAGATGTCCTTTTTTTTGTATTTGTTTTACGTAATTTTTCTTGTTGTCCCTGAGGATACCAGTTGCCTTAAATACATTTGTGACCTTCATGCAGCTCTTCAGCCTCTATGCTGTGGCCCAAAGTTAACCTGACTACGTTGTGATCCATCAGACTAGTATTATAAGTAAATTGTATTTCTTTACAAAAATCTACGTAAACCAATTTTACACTTAATTGTCAGCTTACTTGCTGTTATCAAAAGAAAAAATCCTAACAGCAGCGTCTTCTTAACTCACAGTCAGCACTGGTGAGTTCAGGTGACTGTTGCACAATAGGCCTTCTTTTCACTTCTTTATAAATCTGTAGTATTACTGCAGTACTTGCATACATTGTCACCAATAAATAGAAAAATGTTTTTGTTGCTCTCTGTGAATTTTGACAGTAAAATGATGAAAATAGTTGTTTCAATGTCAAAGGTCACCGACCTCTGACCCTCGTTTAGTATTAAGAGCTCTACCTTTTGTCTGGTCTGTTGACTGTTCACTGCTGAACTCAATCAACTGCTTCTGTTTTGAGTGACGTCCAAAGCTCTGACTGTGAATACGAACATACAGAACAGGAACAGGAAGAACCGCCTCATCATCATCTAGTCTCCATAACGATGATATTTTTCACTGCGTCATTTCTGCCTCTATGATCCAGGATATTATTTTTCCAAACACATTGTAATAAAGATAAAAAGTATGTAAATGGAGGGTCTTAAAGAGTATGGAGGCTGTGGGAAAAATAAGGCCCGTCATGGTCTTCCACCGCGAACCTCAACCTCATTTAAATACACTCAAATCATTCCACCATAGACGGATGTGAGTGAGACCCCCAATTTTGGGTCCTGAACCCCTTCATTTGGAACCTGGATCGACTATACGATTTGTTCCACACAGGCAGCGACCCAGACAACCATGGGACTGTGGTCAACCAGGGGGCCTCGCCTGGATGCTGGCCAGGCGCCACTGTGGTAGCTGATTCCTTGACCACGTGACCAGTCATGTGACATTTTATTGGCAGATAGTGCAGTCTAGCAATGACAATGTTGAGCTCAGGGACATGTTTAAGGTGAAACTGAAGCTATCCATCAAAATAAATGAACGGGGCTTTTATTGAAGCTCATGGACGTGTAAAAGAAAAATGAAACCTGAGCATCAAACATGCTCCGTGCACAACACTGTTATGGAGGGTATCTCATGTCTGTAACCCTGGGACAATGCACTGGTTAGCTCCTGTTTTTATGAGACAAGCACTTTGTAAGTTAATGACCAACATGTGTGTCCAAAACATCTGAAGGCAGAGAGAAACTCTCTTATTATTTCTAACAGCACTGGCAGAAAAAAAAGCGGCGTTATATTTCTCTCTCTAATCACACTTCAAGAATCTAAAGAGATTATGTATCTCACAAATGCTTTGGGAAATGAAGAAGACAGGGGTTTTGACGTTGAGGGTCAGAAACCCAATCTACCACCGCTGTAGTACGGAGGTATCAGATGCTGTGCTGCTAAAAGGGCACTGAGGACGTGAGGTATGATAGCTGGCCTGGCCGCACCGGGGGATTCTGTGTGCATCCTCCCTGCAGCTGAAGGAAAATCATCTTTTGTAAAGAGAGTAAGCGCCATTGTCCTCCTTTGGTGTTTATGTTTGTCTTAAATTTCACCTAGTCCACAGCCGAGCCCCACAATGCCACAGGATCAGCATTGTTCTGGGCCCGTGCAGGAATGGTAG